CAAAAGTTGAAATTCAAATATCAGTTTGTTCAAAATCATACCTGGATGCTGTAGTTGCACTACTTAAAGGTTCTTTTTGGCATATCTCAAACCCTAACCTTAAGTGTGTTGGAAACGTGATTAAAATACCAACAAAATTGGATTGGTAAGAAAAAGAGTTTATTCTGCAGAAAATAGAAAAGCGGTTTGCAAAGCGCGGTGGATCCTGGTGAGAGACTTCAACAGGAAGTTCTAAACCCAGGGACCACACAAAAATATTCAAACTCATAACATTATATACACTCCTATCGCGACGCCCCTGTCCCCTCCCCTTAGGTCCCGTTTGAGAGGACTTCCGGGGGCACAATCTGTCCAATCTGCCTAGCCAGAATACATCATCCCTCCTCCTCAGTTACATTGTTAGACCTTCCCTCTGCCATCCTTTTGTCTTGTTAAGTGTGTCTTCTAGCCAAGCCTCCTGGAATCTAGTGCCTATGTTCAGGGCTTGGCTAATCTTTCTATTGTTAATCAATTGTGACCGTTTTATTTTTAAACTTCTTCCTTTCTCACAAGTGTAACCTAATCCTTACAAGGAAGTCCAGACAAGAAGCACACCTCAAAATACTGGCACTAACTTTGTATAAGGTTTATATTAACAGAACCTTGCAAACCTGAACCATTGCATTACATTAGTTTACATTAACAAGACTGAAAGTATATTTCCCCATCATTTTTTCAGCCCTTGAAACTATGGAAGGTCGCTTCAGTGATGTTTGCTATGCCCACATTTTTTCTGTGAGCTAAGCTGTCTCTTATTCAATCACAGAACTGTTTATGATGAAAGCAATATGTGCATGAGAATAAATGGAATGTCAGTTTCAATGAGCAGAGAGTAAAACAAGGATAAGTGATGTCCCCTTGAATATATTATTTAATATATAATAATATATATTATGTCCCCTTGAATATATTAAATATAGTATTTAATATAATTATGGAGAAATGTATAAGGAATATCTGTTGTATATAAGAAAAATCCTTCTAGATCAAGTTATGGCCCTCTTAATCCATCAAAAATGCAAGGTAGTTTGACAGACAAAAGGAAGTGAATTATTGGGAATCGTACATAAATATTTACAAATTAAGAGAATGGAGATGAATTTGGCTTCCTTATTAGAATAGTTACTGAAGATGGAGAAATGGAAGGGGGAAAATTAAAGTATGAGAATTCTAGTAGTGTAAAGTATATGGTCTCTTGAAATGAACAAATGTTTATTAAAAGAAGTACAAATAAAAGCATATTTCTACCCATTTTGTTACATGGATATGACCATCGGTATGTTAGAAGAAAGAAAAAGTTAAATTAAGGGAGAATGGAGGTTTTTAAAAAGAGATAAAGTGATTCTTGATATTTAATTCTGAGACTTAAGAAACCAGGAATTAAATACAAAGTCCTGCAAGATGAATAGAATAGAATAGAATAGAATAGAATAGGAATAGGAATAGGAATAGGAATAGGATCTTGGAAGTCTTCTAGTCCAACCCACCCACTCAAGCAGGAGAACCTATACCATCTCAGACAAGTGACTGTCCAGTCTCTTCTTAAAAACCTCCAGTGATGAAGCGCCCACGATTTCTGAAGGCAGGCCGTTCCACTGCTTAATTGTCCTCACTGTTAGGAACTTTCTCCTTAATTCCAGGTTGCTTCTCTCTTTGGTCAGTTTCCAACCATTGTTTCTCATCCTTCCCTCTGGTGCTTTGGAGAATAATTTGACCCCCTCTTCTTTGTGGCAGCCTCTCAAATACTGGAATACTGCTATCATGTCACCCCTATTTCTTCTTTTCTTTAGACTAGCCAAACCCAAGTCCTGCAGCCGTTCTTCATATGTTTTAGTCTCCAGGCCTTGGATCATCTCAGTTGCTCTTCTCTGAACTTTTTCCAAGGTCTCAACATCTTTTTTGTAGTATGGTGACCAAAATTGGTTGCAGTATTCCGGGTGTGGTCTCACTAGGGTTTTATAAAGTGGTGCTAATATTTTGCATGCTCTTGATTCTATATCTCTGTTTATACAGCCCAGGATTGTATTAGCTTTTTTTGCTGCTGGTGCACATTGCTGGCTCATAGTCAACTGATCGTCCTCTAGGACTCCAAGGTTCCTCTCACAGCTAGTGCTTTTAAGCCAGGTCTCACCTAATTTGTACTTATATCTTTGATTTTTCCTGCCTAAATGTAAAACTTTGCTTTTCTCCACGTTAAAACTCATTTTGTTGGATAGGGCCCATTGTTCCTGTTTGTCAAGATCTTTTTGAATCCTGAGCTTGTCTTCTGGGGTATTGGCTATTCCTGCTAGTTTAGTGTCATCTGCAAATTTGATGAGTTCCCCTTCTATTCCCTCATCTAAATCATTGATGAAGATATTGAAGAGTACTGAGCCTAAGACGGAGCCTTGTGGTACCCCACTGCTTACTTCTTTCCATGTGGATGTAGTACCATTGAGTACTACTTGTTAAGTATGGTTTGTCAGCCAGCTACAAATCCATCTGGTGGTGATGTTGTCTATTCCACCTTTTTCTAGCTTACCAAGCAGTACATTGTGGTCTACTTTGTTGAATGTCTTACTGAAATCTAAGTATACTATGTCCATAGCGTTTCTCTGGTCTACTAATTTGGTCACTTTATCAAAGAATGAAATAAGATTGGTTAGGCATGATCTGTTTTTAACAAACCCATGCTGTTTACCAGTTATAACTTTGTTTCTAGTTGTTCACAGATCTGTTTTTTGATTATCTTTTCCACGATCTTCCCAGGTATTGATGTTAGACTGATTGGTCTGTAGTTTCCTAGGTCTGTTTTTTTCCCCTTTCTTGAAGATGGGAACCACATCAGCCCTTTTCCAATCCTCAGGTACTTCCCTAGTGCTCCAGGATTTTTGAAAGATATGGTGCAATGGTTCTGAGATAACATCTGCCAGCTCTTTCAGAACTCTGGAATGTAATCTGTCGAGTCTCGGTGATTTATATTCGTCAAGGTCGGTTAGGTATTCTCTTACTATTTTCTTGCTTATTTTAATATTTGTTTCTAGTTTGTCTTTTGCAGTAGTTTTTTTGATATGTTGGGCTATAATTTCTTTTTGTGTGAAGACTGATGCAAAGAATGAGCTCTACTTTCTCCCTGTTGCCTGTTACTTCCTTGCCATCTTCTCTCTTTAGTAGACCTAGTTTCCTTGACTTTTTTCTTCTTGTTAATATGTTGAAATAAACATTGTTTTTATTATCCTTGATTTCTGTTGCAAGTCTTTGTTCATTCTGAGCCTTTGTTTTCCTGACTTCGTCTTTGCATGTTCTGACTGTCTGCTGATAATCAGCCTTAGTTATTATTATTATTATTATTATTAATTTAATTTATATACCGCCCTTAGAATTACCAAATTTGATATTGTACTTTGCAGATTGTTGCTTAGTTTGGATGAAAGAGTGTGTGACTTTAAGAAGTAGGAGGTTGTTGAAATTGGAAGGACATGATTTAAGATTTGGATGGCATGATTATTTGTGCTACAACAAAGTTAAAGTGAATGTAGATTTAAAAAATCATTTTATTAGATGCGCCACATTGAGAATTTGGAATAGGTATAAGACAAAATTGTCTCCTAAAATCCCTTTCTGGTTGTCAACCCAAGAAGCCCTTTTTAAAAGGGAAATGATGGTTAAACAAAAATGGTTTATCTATGCTGATTTGCTGAATATTCCCAAGGAGAATTTAATTAAAAAAAGAACTTGGAGTTTGAAGGTTTTACATGGAATTGGTTTCCTTATGCTAAGCTAATGAAAAGATTTAAGTTGGATGAGAAGACTTATGAATTTGAAAAGGGTAAAACTGAATTTGCTATAGAGCTCTGTACAAATCATGATCAGATTATTGCTAAGGTGTACAAACCTTTATTGAAAATAGAAACAGAAAACAAAACATTAAAGATTGTATGATAAAATGAGCAAAACATTTTTGGATATAATAAACAGTTGAACCGCTAGGAGAGTATGTGGAAGAAAGGGTTGAAATTTACATTGAATTATAATCTTAAGAAGTTTTGTAAAATGAGGTAACTTTGTAAGTCATCGTCTTACAACAATTCATTTAGTGACTATTTGAAGTTACAACAGCACTGAAAATAGTGACTTAGGAGCATTTTTCACACTTACAATGGTTGCATCCCCATGGTCACATGATCAAAATTCAGATGCTTGGCAACTGACTCATATTTATGATGGTTGCAGTGTCCTGGAGTCATGTGATCAACTTTTGCAACCTTCTGACAAGCAAAGTCAATGGGGAAGCCAGATTCACTTAACAACTGTGTTCCTAATTTAACAACTGCAGTGATTCACTTAACAAACATGGCAAGAAAGGTCGTAAAATGGGGCAAAACTCACTTAACAAATGTCTCATTTAGCAAGAGAAATTTGGTGGCAAGTCGAGGACTACCTGTTCTTTGCCAAATGACCTACTGAAGTCTAAGTATGCTATGTCCACAGAAAATCGCCATAGAAAGGCGATTTTACCGAAACACCGATCATTATATTCGCATGTCAAAACACGCACTCACACACACACACACACACACGGAGATCCGTTCGCCCGAGGCAACGGGACAAACGCAAATCCAACTTTCTAAGCGTAAAGTTCAGAAGAGGGAGGTGGAGAAGGAGCGCCTGCTGAATGCCGGTTCAATCCCATGCCTTGGGATGAAATTGCAAAATGCAAGCACATTGCAAATGCAAGCAAATAGGCTGTTTGGGGGGGAGGAGAGGCGGTTTCCGAATGAAAAGTGACTTTCCGAACCGTGTTCACCAGACGAGCCGTCACTATGGCGAATTTTCTCGCCGGGAAAAAAAAAAGGAAGTCCGGTTAAGCTAAACATCGGGGCGGACCCTGATTTTGAACGGATTGAAAGTGAAAGCAACGGCAAGCTGAGTTGGGCTGGGCTGGGCTGGGCTTGGCCGGGCGGGCGGGCTTCCTGTGCCGCCCTCCGTTGCCCTAGCTGGACGGAGCACCGACCTCAAGCTGGAGAAGGAACTGGCGCGGATTGAAGCGCTTCCTCGCCTTTAGCACCATGCACCGGGCGGAAAGGCAGGATGAGGTGGAGGTAGGCGCTACTCTTCACGGTAGCGAGAGGGCAACAGTATTTTAAAGAAAGGGTCTGGAGGAATTTGCAGTATTTGGTCGATGCCCTGCGAAGGAGTTTCCCCCGAGTCGATGGTTCCCCGGAGACAGGAGACTGCAACACCCTTCATCTTTGATCAGCATCAGATCTGGGGGGTGGGGCGGTTGTGTGGATCGTTTTCCTGATCGATCTAGAGTACGACATGTCCGAGGAAGGCTGTTTCTGTGTAAAACAGTAAGTCTCGGTGAGAAAGTACTCGCCTGCAAATCCCCGGATGAGCACTAGAGGGCAATAAAGAGGGACCCCATGGATCATCCGGACTTCTGCAGCTCCAGTTCTAGGGGCAGGTGATTCTGATGACAATTTTAATAAAAGTCCTCCGTATCAAATCAACAGCCTTATCATTCAGTATCCTGTTTCCAAAAAAGGATAACCTGAACTCTCCTGTTGTATCCGATCTATAGTATTTGATATTCAGTGTTAAACCATCTTTGTCTGAGAAATAGATTACCCTATTATTCTGTTATAATTTCCTTGTTGGTTGCTACAGCATTTCTGCCTATCGTTAACTAACTTTCCAATACTGGGCCACATTGAAGAAAAAAAAAATATTGATAGAGATAGTAAAATATTAAAACAGAAGGGAAGCTGTGACAGAAGAGCAACAGGACAAAGAAAGAAAGAGCAATAGAAATAGGACATTCAGGAAGCAGTGAATATTGTACATTGCACTGTGCAAAAGGATTTACACAAAGAATTTTTGTTTTATTTACTCAAGCTGTCATCCTTTGAAACCTGTTTGCCCAACCAAGGGCAAGGAAAAGAAAATCCCAAATGTAACATTTTAATAAAAGACAAACAGAAAAGAGAACAACAACTGCATCAGAGGAATAGTCTCAGATTTTTACTGTTGCTGTCAGAGTGAGGATAGGAAATAACAGGGTATAGAATTTTATATCTGTAGGGATGGTCCAAGTTCCCACCCAAAATATTTGTAGCCACAGACTGTCAGTTATTGTTGAGTTTCTGACTCTACCAGTAGAGATGCCTGAATATGCATAGAATTAACTTAAAATGTATATTTTTAGCAATAATTTTAATAATATATATGGATAACTTTTAAGCGAGAAAGGACAGGGCCTTAAAAGACAGTTTGAAAAGGTACGAAAAGAATCAATAAATAAAATTTCAATTCTTTTTCCAGAACCAGCATATCACTCTTTTCCTATAGCTACTCAATAACTTTTATTTAATCATTTCTGAGCTTAGACTACATTTTTCTAAAACATTTAACATAGCTTGGAGGCAGATTTTGCCAGCCAGGGGCAATTGCTTTAATTAAAGAAGTTTGTACAAAATACCAAATTCAATGTCTGATTCATATCTAAAAGGTCTGCTTCAATCATTTTGAAAATGTGTTCACCTCAAACCAGAGCTGTTTCACATTTGACACATTGGGAAAGCAATTGGCATCGTCTGAGTCTAACGCAAAACAGCTGTGTTATACTTGAAACAATGGTCTGGGACTCAAAATGGCATGTTTAAATACAAAAGAGTTTACATTTAAAACATTTTGCATGCTACTGGATGTGTGTGTGTGTGTGTGTGTGTGTGTGTGTGTGTGTGTGTGTGTGTTCCGTCAAGAGCAGGGCTGTATGCTTTGTAAACATGCAGTTCCCAGTCATGGGTTTGCTAATGGATATACGAAAGAGACAATTTACAAACTATTGTAGAATCCTCCTGTATATTTTCCAGATGCTTCTATTTTCAGCAAATTGGGCCTCTTCCTCCTCTTTATCTGCTCTTTCAGTGGCCTGGAGTTTATTAGGTGGAAAAATATGTTTCCCCCAAGTATTGATAGAACTGCAGTATGCTTGCACACTCTCATTGCCTAGAGAAATGAGAAAGACGTGTAGTGAAGTAATGTTAAACATAAACTTTTTTTAATATGCAAAAGCTGATTGTATTCCATGGACACCTGGCCTTGAAAATAATTTTAAACATAGGAAAATGCCTCTGTAAAGAAGGAAGAATATCACACAATCATAGTGGCACTGAACTAAAGAAAAGCCTTGCTTTGCAGAATAAATACCAAGTTACAGACTTGTCTTGAGCAATAGTACCTAGAAAACACAGGCTAGTAAACTTCACTTTTTTTATTTGTGGTGGTGCCTTTGAATCAATGTAGACTCCTGGCAACTGCCTGGATAAGTCTCTGCAGGGTTTTTTTTTTTTGCCTCTTTCCTAGGATTGAGAGAGAGAGAGAGAACTAGCTTAAAGTCACCTAGCTGGCTTTGTGCCTGAGGCAGTACTTGAACTCATGGTCGCCCTGTTTCTACCTACCACCAGCTGGCTCTCTATTTTATTCTTCTTGCTGTGTAGTTTGGGTTATATGTCTTTGAAATTACACATATTTGGAGGTGCAATCTGAAGTTTGAGGATATTTATTAGCTAAACAGGTGTTTCAACTGTAAAAAGAAAAATGCATAGCAGATATTCTGGGTGTGCAAATAGTCCTCGAATTACAACTGGTTGCTTAACAATTGTTTGAAGTTACGATGGACTAAAAAAAAAGTTACTTATGATCTGGCCTCAAAGTTATAGGTGCAGTACTACCCTGGCAATAATGTGATTGTATTTTGGGAACTTGGCAACCGGCTTGCTGCCGTTGCAGCATCCCGTAGCTACATGAACGCATTTTATATAAATCTTGTATATTAAAACAAGCTAGTTTTGTAAAGAATAATCAAGAACAACTATAGTTAACTGTACTAATAAAATACAACACTAACATTCTTTCTAGCAGATGCATCCAAAGAAAAACTGATCCAAAGAAATGATTTTTATAAATTTAAACATCCATACACACAAAAAAGGTTTAGCGTTTCATATGAATGGAGGCAGAGCCTGGATTCACCTGTTATGCTAAGCCAGGCTTCTCCAAAGTGGTCAACCTCTAAGTATCAATGGGACTATCTGTTGTTAGTTGTAGTACTGATTTATTAGTAATACTAATACTAATATTAATATTTATTAGTATTTATTAAATTATTTTCATATAAATGATTGGAGGTTGATGAACAATATGCAATTTCATGAAAGGGTCGATGAGCTGAAGAGTTTGGGGACCTTCCATTTAATTGTTAGGTAGTTTGGCTTTGGCTTTCATCTGATATGTGAAATTAAAAAAATGTGGCTTACTATTACTGTATGTACAAACCGGACTGATTGAAACAAATAATTACTTTTGGTCTAAAAAATAATGACTTATTCGGACTATTGAACAGCTCTTCACATTTTGAAGGAAGATGTAATAGACCACTATTGGGAGAATGGAATTAGAACATGGATGAAGATGATAATGTTCCCTCTGCCAAGGAAACAGAATATTGTGGTCTCTCTAGATCAGAGGTCCCCAACCTTTGGGGCAACTGGAACCGGTTCCATGGGGAAAGGTTTTTCCACAGACCGGAGAGGGCATGGTTTTGTGTGCTGCCTGCATCCCATGGATGGGGCTTTGCTTCTTTGTGTGGACTGGTTGTTGGCATGCTGCGGCCCGGTACTGATCCACAGACTAGGGGTTGGAGACCCCTGCTCTAGATTACTCTCTGTGAGCTAGATGTCTATGAAGATTCTCAGTCATCTAGGTCATGGTTGTCCCAAAGGTACTTTTCCAAAAGCAGCTAAACTTCCTTTGTTTTCCCTTGAAGACATTTTGCTTCTCGTCCTAAGAAGCTTCTTCAGTTCTTGGATGAGAAGCGAAGCAAAGAACAAAGAAAGTCCACTTGCTTTTGGAAAAGCACCTTTGGGTCCTTGGGCCAGCTTTGCTCTTTTCTAATGCATAGGCCAAACAGTATCCAAACTCCTAACTGTGCAAAGTTAAATTTAACAAATGCAAATTACAGGCTCACACTTGGCCTCCAGTTTCATTAATATTGAAACTTCAAAAACCCCAGGCACAAGCACAACCAATATTCTTTAGAAAAGAGAAATCAATTCTTAGCAGATACCAAATCCTGATTCTTAGCTCAGTGGATGGATTTGTATTCAGCAATAGTCAGCTAGTTTTGTGTTTATCTTGAGTAAATTGTTATGGGCAGAGAGGGGACAAAGGTACAGAAAAAAATCCTGATGTAATACTGATGCAATCTGTAAATATTGTTCCTTCTTACCAGAAGTGCCAAAGGACAATGGCACAACAAATATCACAAGCTAAGTGGTCTGTTTATTGTTGACATCTATCTTTTTACTCCTGTCAAGTTTCCTCTAGGTATTTGCTCCTTCAGAAAACATCTTTGAAAAGGCTGGGTGGACCGGAGGGCATCAACAGGCTTTCCTCTAGTGTTTAAGTTAGCAAAACAAGGATGCTGGCAAAGACTTTTGCTGTCTTGGCAACCAAATTCTAATCTGCAATTGTCATTTAAGATCAGTAGTTGGGGGATTCCTTAGCTTCATTTCCCCTTCCCACTGAACATCACAAATCGGTGGATGAAACAGCCTCTAATTGCTCTCCTTAATGTAGGGTTGGGTGAGTGTGGGCCATTCTCTGGGATGGAAGCTTTAACCAGTTTTCCATTTGCTTGAAAAACATGTTACTGGCATGGAGCTGTTCTCTGTTGGTGATTTGTCACCTGGGCTATTTATGAATATGTGTGTGGTGCTCTTATGTCCCAAAATACCCTGGGTACAGGAAGGGTGCAGGATGAATCAGGAGTAGTTCTATTCATTGGAAAAACTTTCATCCAATTTACCCCACATTCTTATCCTAGTTTGTCAACAGGGGAAGCTCTGCAGCTTAAACGAACAGTAGAAGCTAGGTAGATCCCCCTCTGTCTCTTGTCATCATCAACCTCATCAGAGATTGTTCTGCATCAGGAAAAGCTAAAGGCAGCTTCCATGATAGGCTTGGATGAGACAAAGGAGATATTATGAAGACATGACCTTTAAAAAGGATTAACAAGACTAGTTGTGATATGGTAAAG